GTCGCTTGATGACACTTCTGAAAAGCCTGTGTGATGGGTTGTGGGGCCTGAGCAACAAATGGCAGTTCAAACAATGCTAGCCCATGCTACACAAAGAGCTCTTGGTAGAATTTTTGGATCACATTCATCCCCATCACACCAGGGATGTGAAGGGAAGCATCACCAGGAGGATCCTACCAAAAATGCTGCACAGGGAGATCACCTTGCGACACAACTCAACATTTAGCTCCAGATAACCAAAGAAAGGAATATCCAACCCATTAGCTGCCCTGAGTTGCAACCAGTTACATGATTTAAGGCGCTCGTAACCCCATGGTTCAAAATGCTCACGGAGCTCTCTGTAACAGTGGAAACCATCGAACCAGTATCCAAACATGGCACCTGAACACCACCCATGACAACCTCCAAATGGGGACAAGACGCAACCAGTTTTGATGCATCGGCCAATTCATTTTGCACAGCAGTTGAGCCAGTAGAGGCCCCACCCAAACTGTGGCTCTGCAGTTCGGTGGGTACTAGTTTTCCGAAGCTGCAGCGGATTCTGGATGCCGGGAAGTTTGTGAGGAAAACTGAGAACGAGGGGGAGCACCCACACCATTACCTTTCAAACTTTTGGTTTGAACTGTTTATGGAATACTCAACAGAACATATCATTATGCTGCTTATTTGACACTATGCAGTACAATCAAGTTTTCTTTTACACAACAAAAATGTCTTTTGTAAATTGATCTTGTTTTCAGCTGGTGTGAGGAGTACTGGAAGGGAAGTAGAGAGAGGGAGAGAAATAAATCAGGGTGAAAAGAAATGGCTAACATAAGCCAACAATGTTTACACTGATATAAATGCTTTGAGGGATGCACGATCCACATTTTTCACTTCCAATCCGATCCCAATATTTTGGATTTGGATATAGGAATGGTATCGATAATGATACCATTCCGATACTATAGCTTTAATATTATTATTATATGCATGTATTTCCCAAAAGGAACCTTGGGAAAAATCCCATCCTTATAACAAATATGTTACTGTATGGGTTTGAAATTGAACATTTTTTAAGTGCAACGTAAACATCTTACAACAACGTGTGCATCTGCGTGCGCACACACACTTATTCAATTCATTGCTGGCTACATTGACAGTCAACATGTACTGTAATTCCGTAGGATATTATTTTTTTTAGTTAGAAAACATTAATAACGTCAGTCCTTGTTTCGCACGTCCAGGACGAGCGTGCGTTCCATCATTTTTATTTCACTGTCAGCGTTACTCTCCTCAGCCAACAAGAGTCTTCAAACGGTCACAGCTTGAATAAAGTCTGTGACAGTGGAGGTCGCTGAGCTGAGCACGAGTACGTACTTTATCTGTTGGGAGTTTACCTTGCTTTTGGAACGACTCCAGAAGTGACTTCCAGCAGTCTTTCTGTTCCATGGCGCATTCACGTCCTCTTTGATTAGGCGCTTTTTATGTTTAATTAAGTTAGTGGTATTGTATGAAGAGCCAGTTACACCTCTCCAATTTTCAGCTCTGCAAATATCGCATGTTGCTGTGTGGTTTTCCTGTCCTTTCTAATATTTCCACACAGCGGACGTATTTCTTTACATCCTGCTATCTGGCTGCAAAATGTAGAGTGGATTCCCTAAACTGCGGCGTGCTTTGCGATCTTGTTGAGCCACGTTGAATGAAATAAAATGAAAGTAAATTATTGTGACACAGCACACAACGAAATGTGACCTCTGTTTATAACCCATCACCAAAGTGAACAGTGGGCAGCTTAGCAGTGTGCGGGGACGGTGCCATGCTTAGAACACCTCATTGGTAACTTGGCAGCTGGTGGACTCAAACCAGGAGGCTTCCGGACCCAAGTTTACTTCCTTAACCACTAATCCACCACCAGATGAAGCTGACTCCATAGTTTACAGTCATAAAAATGTCTGATTCCTGCCGACGGGTCTGCCGGCAGTAATCAGACAAGGCTGGAGCTCAGACATGGTTCGTGGTTTGGAATTTTTTGCAGGTTGGATCAGATAAGTCTGATCCACTAATAACGTTGGGATCAGATACTGATACTGGATCGGATCGGCCCCATCACTAATTGATTTATTCTATATTGCATATAAAATATATATCAATATATCTTAAAAAACGTATCACCAAAGACTTGTAAGAGAATATGTAATATGTAAGTTTTTGCAATCCTCTTAGTAAGGCATTTTTGTCTCATCCAAATCCAAGCCTCTTGCACAGCTGTTTCTGCCTTGATTAGTTTTTATGTTTCTGCTTTTAGTGGATAACAATATGCTTGACTGCAATCTTGCAAAATCTGGAATTTCGTGCATATGTTTCTGTATCGCTGATGCTGGTTTGAAGGTCATGGTAGTCACAGTATTGATCTGATTTTGTGTTTCTTTCAGTTTGGTACCATTTTATTATGCAATTTTGTTAAAAACAACAAGGGGATACAGTATTACTATACAGCAATTTAGCTTTTTCATACCTGCCTAAATCTTCTGCACAGCAGGTATTATTTTGACCAAAACCTCACACAGAGTCAAATAACAACTTATGTTTATGCTGGCTTTTTACAGTATAAAGCTGAAGAACATAAAATATATATTAATGTATGTATGTAATTACAGGTCACACATCTTTATCATACTTTGACTGACATCACATAACATGTTAACCATCATTAAATCTTGTAATAAACACCTTGTTCTCTTTCATGTTAAAGACTGTTCAGGCCATTTTGGTACAGAAAACAGAGCATGACACTATGTAAGTTAGCCATTCAAGCCCATACAAACTTGAAATCAGAAGTTCTGCTTTTTTTAACAAGGTAAATAAAATCTAGCTTAAGCTAAACTTAAATCTCATATTAATATTAGTTATATTTATATATATATAAGTTGCATATTTATATTATATAAGTTGCGAATGTAATGCATCCAGGAATCCTAAAGAGGGAAAATAAAGAAAGTATATCAAAAATAAAACTAAATAAAAAAAAATGAGAGATTTTTGGAGTATCTTAAATGTATAACTCAATGCTAATGTACATATCATTCTAGTCTATAACATGACAAATAGAAGATGAAAGGAGACACATTGCCACTAGACATAGCCAAGGGAACTTTAGAGATCTATAAATAATGAATATCTATTTTACAATTTCTCTTGGGTGCTTGTATATCCTCACATACTAAATGAAATTTAACTGCTCATGTCTAAACACTTGCTAAATGCTAAAATAACGTTTGCTTGGTTGGTTTGTGCTTGAATGCCTGGTTTCACACGTGTGTGCGTGCCTTCGCACCGACATTCACACACACACAATATGTCATTTTGTCTGTTTTTTTCTGTTGATTTAAGCAAAGCCTGTATAACCCATTGAGTAGTTGAATGTTGCAAAAAAGCTCCAGCACCTAGCAAAAGTTAGCAGACATCTTCACTGAAATATTGAAGGTGGAGGTGACATTTATATTGGACATTTCTTGTACATATGTTGTGAGAAATATTTTTGTTCATTGTTCATGTTAACCTCAAGACAATGAGAACAAAAGTTCTCTCAAAAGGAATCTGATGCAGAAGCAGATTGGGGGTGGATGTTTGTAAAGTGGGTGATGGAGCTAAAGATTGAACAATGTTGTCACCGCATCTTTCATAACTAAAGGATCAGGGAAGGTTATGTTAATGTTATTTGTGTTTTATTTCTATGTTGGTGCAGGCATCATTCCCCTTCTGAGTCGTCTGTCCTTTGCCTTGCCCAGACAAACCCCAAAGCATTGTAGTTCAGCTCTTGCTTCTCAATTCAATTGACAATCCCTGTTTTGTCCCTACAAACAAAAGATAAAAAAAAATCAATAATAAATTGCAAGAGACATGACAGAGAAAATCTCTGAAATTTTGAGCAAAAGCACTAGTAAGAAAATGTTATTGGTCACTGGTTGACACACTAGCAAGGAAACTGAAATGATTTTAGTAGGTTTTGCAGTTTGTGTTAGTTATGAGGCAGATATGCAAATGAAAATTTGAAAAAAATCTTACTAACCACACTAGCCGACATGTTAAGAGATAAATGTGACACTGAGGCTTGTTCTTTTGATGTGAATTTCAATGGTAAATTGTTTAAGTACCTTACCGTAGACTCCTTTAGAATGGAATTAATCTTTGAGCCCAACAGCTCTGCCTAGCTGTGCAAGAGTTAGGAAAGAGAAAAAACAGACAGAAAATGCAGAAAAGCAATAAAAGCATGAGACAACAACATTTAGATAGGTTATGTAAGAGCTGCCGGATTGGTTTTTAAAGATGGTTTTTAATCTTTTTATTTCAAAGAATGAAGAAATTGGATCTCATATAGTCTGCACATAAAACCCCTGAGCCATCTGACAATGGTCCTTCATCTGATACTATATTGTTGTCATGATTCATTTCACCATCATGTCTCACCACTTTCTTCCTGAGATTTTGTTTGTCCTTCTTGACTGCGCTGTAGTACAAAGCTGGCTTCTCCGGGACCTCTTCCTGTCTAGGGCTGCCATTTTCTCTGGGGGACGGAGTCACATAATCAGACTCGGTCTCAACTGCCACTAATGCAGGGTAACAAGCCAAGCTTGGACATACATATTATTAAAATACAAAAATCTATCTAAGGGTATAGTAAAAAACAAACTTTGTAAGTTTTCTGTAAGTGACATGGTTATTCTATTAGTTAAGTTGCTGCTCATACAACCACTCTAGAGGTTGATATGCCAGGGGAAGCTTGCAAATCTGGGAGGTACAAAGACCAAATAAAGCCCTTTAGTGAAGGAAGCAACCTGGTGGATTTAGGACAGCACATCAAGGATACAGAAGCAGTGTAACAAAAGACAGCCACTCCCTGCACAAATATAAGGGTTAGTCCAGCTTGCTAACCCATTCCAAAAAAAGAAAAGACCATTATAATCCACAACGACATTGGTAGTAGTTTAAATAAACATTAAGAATTAACTTAAGATTCATTGAAAATATACAACTTTCATTTCTACTTAAATGTATATTCTTTACTTCACAGTGTTCACCAATTTGTGTTTTGGAATAGGTGATCATACTAACTTCAAAAAAGTGTCTACATACAATATCTTTTCTACTTACTTTTTGTTGTTGTGCCCAACGTATCTCACTGCTGCAATGATAAAGGCTATAACTGCCACTCCCCCAATGGAGCCAACTATAACCGCCATCATATATTTTTCTGGAACATAAATAAAATATTTGGATTGAAAAATGTTGACATGATGACAACAAATAATATATATGGTGCCAGGATATTTGTGACCTTGGGGCGGATCATTGAAATTTTGTGGTGGGGTCTGTTCTGTTGATGCCTAGAAATAGCAAAGCCAACACTTTTGCCTACCTAATTGTCCTGGTGGAGAAACCATGAGTTGCGTGATCACTCAATTGGCTTTCCAATAACATAATTTTCGAGGATATGATATGTACAGTATGTATGTATATATATATATGTATGTATATATATATATGTATGTATATATATATATATATATGTATATATATATATATATATTTAAGAGGTTGTATAATTTTTTTCCATTAGAATAACAGCGTTGCCATTTTTTTCACTATTTTCCACTGTGGCCTGGTACCAAATATCCTATGGTCTGGTACTGGTCCAGAGTGGGACCAGTAGTTCTCCAATGGAGAACTCCCACTCCACATCCCTCCAGACAACCCCCATTCCTTCTTCGTCCACACGTGTGCTAAAAACCCTGCTTGGTGAGAAGGGCCACACAAAACCACATATGCATGTCCTCCCACACTGCTGAATCATGGTACAACAGCGCCACATTGTGGCAGCTGCAGGCACAAGAACGGTCAGTTGCTGGGACAATTACAATAATATGATTGGCTCTCTTTCCTCCTCATGGTTTCCACGTAGCCACGAAGTTGAAAACCACTCCCCCCGGATTTAAAACTGCAAATTACTGAAGCTGTATCAGAAGCTTATCTTGAATTTATGTTATAACAATTGCTGTACGAGATTTTCTAGAATACTTCTCCAATTGCTTATTTTGATCAACCGTTGGACCTTTTTTGTATTGGCGTTTTGTTATTAATCGAATCAACGATCTACCGGCTGTTTACATTCCTTGCCTGAGACTTTGTCCAAAGTAATCTCTTCAATTTTGGTGCTGTGACTATGAGATAAAGAAGAAATACTTCAATTGATGCCGTAATCACGAATGAAGAAGAGCTACCTAAACACAACCTAAACACTGAAAACACTGGAGAACATGATAATCCCAACCCCAACTTTCCTGTTTCTGTTTACCTCTGCTGTGGACAAGTACAAAGTGAAGGGAGTTAGCCATGGAGGTAACGTTAGCTTTGGGTCTCGAGCAGATCCCTAAGTCTCCCCTGTGCATTCCAACTACAGTCAGGCGTAACCAGCCGTGTTACAGGCACTGTTTAGAAAAAAAACATTTATTTACCGTATTTTTCGGACCTTAAGGCGCATCGCATTATAAGACGCAATATCAATGAATGAGTCTATTTCCTTACATAAGGCGCATCAGGTTATAAGGCGCATTAAGCGAAACAAAACTATTTTTGTTCTGGATGGTCACCATATTGGTTTTTTTTTGTGACACTGTTCCGTGTAGAAATGCTGATGTTGTTTTGCAAAGAAAGTGTGTGTTTTGCCTGTATCGATAAAAAAGTTGTTGAGCATCTTCTAATTGTGAGAACAGAGTTAAACGTCATTGTTGGCTCCCAGTGTGCTTCAGTTGTGTGCCATCATGTGTGATGCGCTGTGGTTTGGCTTTATAAAATCTGTTCAAGGTCAGTAAGCGCAACCAGAAGTAATACATAAAGCCACAGGTTATAAGGTGCATTGTCGATTTTTAGAAAATTAAAGGCTTTTAAGTGCGCCTTGTAGTCAGGAAAATACGGTGATTAAAAGTGAAAGCTGTCAAGCATGCCGCCGAAGAAGGCACTGACAGCCGAGGAGGAAGATTAAGTTTTTATCTGAGGAGATATCTGCAGTTAAACAGCTGCAGAAAGACCTCCAAGGGCTGCTG